AATACAGTCAACTAAAATGAAAACAAGTCATGAAATTTAATTGAAAATTAAAAAAGAACAAAATTATAATCAATTAATATTATTCCAGTGTATTGAAATTATTTGTGACGTATTTTTGAGAAATTTTGAAAGATATTAGAATAACCTGGAAGTTATACGCGGAACCAATCAGCCGCACACAGATAGAAAACAAAATATAACGAGGCGTAAGGCAATGATATGTCTTATCATGAGATTTACTAAACTTGAGATCAAGGAGATCCTGAAAGAACTAGAAGTTCTATCAAGATTTACTATTGACAGATATAATCATAACAATATAAAATTTGCAGATGACCCGGTATTGATAGCAGACGCTGATAGAAAAAAACAAAAAAACAGGAACTCCTACAGATAGTAAAGGAAAGTGAGAAGAAAGGACTAGACATCAGTCGCACGAATACAAGATGTATGGTTGTCAGCATGAGAAACACCCAAATTACGAACTGCCAAAATTAAGCAAATATGAAAATCTGGAGGATCGAGGTTGGGGGAATGCGGAGACCACTCAGGTTCGCGTTTACGGCTGGAAACTTCTGGTCCAGCCACTCTAGAGAGACATTTACTGTAGGAGGGATGACCTCATGTTGCTGGTACAAATAGTGCCCCTGTCTGAACCCTGGTTGCACCTCTGCCACTGTTCATGGGAAGATTTGTTGAGGCCAAGGTCCTGGCACCGGATTTATTCAGACTCCTGCTTACTGAATCTCGGACTGTTGCTATGTTTTCAGGAGACCTTAAGGTAGGCTTTCTGCCAAATTTGACTGTTGGAAGACCTTTTTCTCATGTTGATTGTCCTTGTAAATCAAACTTCTTGATCCATCGGTAAATGTCAATTTTACTAGCGGCTTTATTCTTGTCATTGTTTCTCCGGAATTTCGCCATGGCATGTTTATAGCAATTTCCCTCCAATTTTCTTTTGATATAGCTCTGATTTTTTGAATGATTGCTGCCTTCAGCTCTAAGATGGTGTATGTGATGTTCCTGTGGGCTCGATACTTCAGCTAAATACACAGATAAAAATCTGGCGGGGGTGAGATCGGAGGAATGCGGAGACCACTCAGGTTTGCGTTTATGGCTGCTAAATCGGTGAGGAAATTTCTGGTCCAGCCACTCCAGAGAGACATTTACTGTATGAGGGGTGGCCCCATCTTGCTGATACCACTGGTGCCCCCTCTGAACCTTCCGTTTTACTAGCGGCTTTATTCTTGTCATACATTCTCCGGAATTTCGCGATGCCATACTTATAGGAACTTTCCTCCAATTTTCTCAGCCCACAGACTTTTTGTGTTCTTCTGTAAAAGGCATTGTAGTTGGTGTTCTAGTTTTGCTATCTTCTCAGCTTTCTAAATCTGAAATATAAAAGCAAAAAGGCTAAAAATCAAAAAAATTACATACGTTTATTTGGGTTTTATTTATACTGGGACGAAAAATTTGATACCGAAATCCAAAGGAGAATTCCAGTACTGAAAGATGCCTTTCAAAGGCTAAGCAAAGTATTAAGAAATTTCGTTAGAAACAAACTGCTATGTAAAAAAAAGCGGTTAATTCAGATAGACGTGAGACAACCGTTGAAATTTGGTAACGACTAATGTGACTGAAAAAATCAGGAAGACTTTCTGCACATTTCGTCACAATCCCCACGTCGGATGTTCTTCTTTGAAAAAGTACGATAAGTTGACGCTCAGCATCAGTGAGTTGTTTAGCCATACGAGAAGGGAAGAAGGAAAGACAAAATTTGCCTGCAAATAATCTTTAAATGACGAGTCAGAAGATCGAGCAGCAATTAATCAATCATAAAAGAAACAATTAGAGTTAAGTAATTACGCGAGAGTCAAATGATTATTCAAGGTCATGAATATTCAAGAAAATTATTCAAGGTTATTCAAGATCAATTATTCGTGAAAGGTAAAACAATGATAATATATTTTCCGCTTTTGTTACTGGGGCACTCTGTATATGGCAGTGAATGCTGAACAATTTCCGTCGAATGAGCGTCTACAAAAGTATGCCGAATATACCGTGGACTGAACATTTGAATAACTAGGAAGTTTTAACGAAAATGGCAACAAAAAAGCCGTTTATACTTAGAATCAGAAATAGACAGTTGAAATTTCTAGGACGCATAATGAGGAAAGATGGCTTGGAGACTCCGACACTCAAAGGATATATTGAAAGCAAGTGTGACAAAGAAAGCTGTGAATAAACTAACAAGTTTGTGTAAATGCATAGCTGAATAAGAATTGGGATATATCGTAAAAAAGGTACTTTATAAGAGCAGGAAGTTGTGGAGAACCATGATCATCTATGTCCTGAAGGGACACGGAACTTTCAAGAATTATCAAAAGAAATCTCTTGTAAATCACATTCCAAATAGCGTCTGGATTTCGGTGTCGCATTTGCCATTCTCTGTTAAAGCAGCGGCCCAATTTACCTGACGAGCTTTTCTGTAACAATGATGGAACAGGGAGACAGGAATATTGGTAAAGGGAAAAACGATGGGTACAAGACACAGGAGATTGTGGAGAGCCATGACAGCCCACTTTCTGAAGAAAAGTCTATTTTATGTTACACATATCGAAATTAGGATTCCGCTTTGTTTCAGACAGAATCGCGAATACAAGAATTGAGATTTTAAGAATTCAGAAGAATTATTTGGTCCTCAAAGGACCGGAAGCTGCCGACTGAGGAAAAAGCAACAGTATAGTGTCTCAAACTGGTTTCAGCCTTTAATGACTGGTGATCTTCTTTTAGAAAAAAAATTCTCAGTAGCATGAACATAATTGTATTCATTATGATACTTTTAAATGCAAGTTAGAGCGAAAACCGTCCACCATCTTCATTTTTAATATTCAATGTCTTTTCAAGGAGTGAACGATCATCGTTTTCCATAACTTACTGTTATTTGTCGCCATGACTAACTTTCAGCCCTTTACATTTCCGTGCTCCATTCATTGAAATTAAATTTAGCCGCTATTTCTACGTGTTTCTCTTGTCTATGGCGTGTCCTGTGAGTGTTTCCCCAGACGTGCTTTCTTAAATCCTTATAGGTTTCTCTTGTCTTTAGTTTGTCCTGTGAGTGTTTCCCCAGACGTGCTTTCTTAAATCCTTATAGGTTTCTCTTGTCTTTAGTGTGTCCTGTGAGTGTTTCCCCATACGTGCTTTCTTAAATCCTTATAGGTTTCTCTTGTTTTTAGTGTGTCCTGTGAGTGTTTCCCCAGACGTGCTTTCTTAAATCCTTATAGGTTTCTCTTGTCTTTAGTGTGTCCTGTGAGTGTTTCCCCAGACGTGCTTTCTTAAATCCTTATAGGTTTCTCTTGTCGTTAGTGTGTCCTGTGAGTGTTTCCCCAGACGTGCTTTCTTAAATCCTTATAGGTTTCTCTTGTCTTTAGTGTGTCCTGTGAGTGTTTCCCCAGACGTGCTTTCTTAAATCCTTATAGGTTTCTCTTGTCTTTAGTGTGTCCTGTGAGTGTTTCCCCAGACGTGCTTTCTTAAATCCTTATAAGTTTCTCTTGTCTTTTCCTGGTTGTTAGAAGGCGTTTCCTTGTATTGTCTTTATTCTTCTTCGTTACTCACATGCCCTATCGTTGGTATCTTCTTCATTCGTCGACAGAAGAATATTTCCGTTACGCAGGGCTTCTCATTTATCTGCGAGAATATTGCCAAAATTCACAGTCTTTTGGGGATTAGCAATCCAGCACAATTTTCTTTTTTTTTCTAAGGATATTTTATATTTCTTCACACGTTGCTTAGTGTCTTTTGCAACAACACGCTTTTCATTTTTGTACTTAGAGTATTTTCTATTTCTTCATACTTTGCTTAGCATCTTTTGCACAGGCATCATTTTCATTGTTTCGAAGACTATTTTAACACTAAGCCTTTTTAAACCTGAAGCCTGAAGACTCTAACTCTGAAAAAAAGAAGTTGGACAAATATCTGGCCCTCCTACCAAAATTAAAAAAAAAAAAAAACCTTGACCATGTAAGTGACCAATAATTACTGGCAGCAATCGCCCAAAAGTTTTGCGAAAAGTTCGGAAAAATTTCAGATCTTGCGATGAATAGAGAGGATCGTGTTAACAGTGATATTTAAATCAACTCACTGAGGAGACATTCTATCACTTGATTTCTAGTGAAAGCCAACGGTTAATACTTGTGTGAACACTCAGTGAGTAACAGAAAGGACATAATAATAATAATAATAATAATAATAATAATAATAATAATAATAATAATAATGCCGACAACGACAAGAAAAGCATTGATAACGACAATATTATCATTATTAATAATAACAATGATAATGTTAATAATAAACAAGTGTGACATCGCTCGTAAAGATACTAATAATAACATCAATAAAATAATTGGGATAAAAGCGAAAATAATGATTGGAAAGAACATAATTGACGGCTGCCTCCTCAAGACTACAGCCAAGCTGTCAGATTTTGAAAATCTTCAAGACTAATTTGGTCATTTTTTTTACGTCTTTTGTCTCATATTTTCTTCAATCCTATTTTTTTAAGGCTAAAAGCAAGAATAAAAATGAAAGATAACAAATGATAAAACAAATGAAAAAAAAAAAAGAAAAGAAATGAAACTAGAAATAAATCGTTATTTCTTCAATGAATAATTTTGTTGGTTTATTACGAGTACTTTCGTTTTCACTTTCGACTTGTTTATATTTTTAATAGTTTTTGGCGGGAACGGATTTTTTTTTTTATTATTGAAAATCAGTGGCGAATAGCGCCAAGTATGACATTAATTTTCAAAGTAGCGTAATGAAGAGTGTGAAAAATCACATTAATTGAATCGTTAAGGACATTTTCACAAAAAAAAGCAAACGGAAAGGAAAAAAAAATTATTAAGAAATAAATGCAGAAGAATGTTGAAAGGAAAGACAGAAAACAATAAAAAATAAAGAAAAAATAGAAATAATCCGGAACGAAAAAAGCAAGACAGCTAGCTAGGTAGAAAAATAGATAGATAGATAGATAGATAGATAGATAGATAGATAGATAGATACACACACACACACAGAGAGAGAGAGAGAGAGAGAGAGAGAGAGAGAGAGAGAGAGAGAGAGGCAGGCAATGAGGGAGAGACAAAAAAGAAGGAAAAAGAATAAAAGAAAGCCAGAATAGAAATTATATATAAAGGAAGATAAATGATAAAAAAAGGAATAAAGAAAGAAAGAAAATTGAGAAAGAAAGAAAGAAAGAATAAGAAGAAAAATGCAAAAAATAAAATAAAAAAGAAAGCAATGAAGAAAGACAATATGAAAGAAAGAGAGAAAATGCTGACGAAACAGAAGAAATGAGAAAAAGAAAGAAGTGGAAGAAATAGGAAGTAAAAGGAAATGACAAAGATTACCAGCAACGATGTAGAGAAAGCAAAGAGATTAATAGAGAGAGAAAAAATAATAAAAGCAAGAGAGTAAAATAAAAAGAAATGGAGGAAGAATAAAGAGAAGGAGGATGATGAAAAGTAAAAATAGTAAAAGAAAAAAGGTAAGTAAAATAAATGATGGGATTCGAAAAAGATAGAAAATGAGGATGGTTGAAAGAAAGAAAGAAAGAAAGAAAGAAAGAAAGAAAGAAAGAAAGAAAAGAAAGAAAAAAACAAAAGAAAGAAAAAAACAAAAGAAAAAAAAAACAAAAGAAAGAAAAAACAAAAGAAAGAAAGAAAGAAAGAAAGAAAAAAGGAAATAAAGAAAAAACAAAAGAAAGAAAGAAAGAAAGAAAGAAAGAAAAAACAAAAGAAAGAAAGAAAGAAAGAAAAAACAAAAGAAAGAAAGAAAGAAAAAAACAAAAGAAAGAAAAGAAAGAAAAAAACAAAAGAAAGAAAAGAAAGAAAGAAAGAAAGAAAAGAAATAAAGAAAGAAAGAAAGTAAAACAAAAGAAAGAAAGAAAGAAAGAAAGAAAGAAAGAAAGAAAGAAAGAAAGAAAGAAAAGCAAAGCAAACATACAAAAGAAAGAAACGCTAACAAAAATACGAGGGAGGAAAAAGGGATGCAAAAGACGAAAGACTTAAAGAAACGATGAAAAGAATTAAAGAGAGAAGGGAAAAGAAAAATAAAGACAATATTATGCAGAAGGAATTAGAAAGGAAGGATGAAAGTAAAATAATGAAAGAAAAACGACGACGTGAAATTAAAGAAGTCATAATGGAAAGAAAAACAACGAAGAAAAATGGAAGCCGTAAAAAATCGAGTAAAATAATAGTTGAGAAAAATGAAAATAAGATAGAGAGACAAGGAGAGAGAGAAAGAGAGGGAGAGATATAATGTAGAAGAGAAGGAGAGAGAAGGTGACCGGGAGGAGGAGAATAGAAGAAGAGCGGAGGAGAATGAGATGGAGAGAGAGAAGAATAAATAGAAGGAGAGAGAGGGAAGGAGAGAGAGGGAAGGAGAGAGAGGGAAGGAGAGAGAGGGAAGGAGAGAGAGAGACAAAGTGAGAGACAGAAAGTGAGAGAAGGTGAGAGACAGAGAAAGTGAGAGAAAGAAAGAGATTACAAGAGCGAAGTAGAGAGAGGGAGAGAGAAAAGGAGAGAGAGAAAGAGAAGTAGCATAGAAGAAGAGTGAAGGAGAGAAGAGAAAAAGTAGAACAAATAGCAAAAAAGGAAAAGGTTTGAAGAACGAAAAAATGTCATAGAAGCAAACAAAGGAAAATGAAAGAACAGAAAGGAAGAAATAAAAAACTTAACATAGGGGGAGAAAAAGAGAAAACAATGAAAGAGAAAGAAAACAGAAAAACGAAAAAGAACGGAAACAGATAAATGAAAAGGAAAGGAAACAAAAGATAAAAAACAAAGGAAAGAGAAAAATGAAAAAGAAAGGAAACAGAAAAATGAAGAGGAAAGGAAACAAGAAATGAAAGACAAAAGAAAAGAGAAAAATGAAAAAGAAAGGGAAGAGAAAAATGAAAAAATCACGACTACAAGCGAAATAAAAAAGAAGGAATAAAATGCACGAATAAGATAAAAAAATGAGAGGAAAATAACTGGAAAAGCGGAAAATCAGAAGAATGAAAAACGATGAAAAATAGAGAAATGAAAAAATTGATGTTGCAAGAAAGAAAAATAGAAGAATGAAAAGAGGAAAAGTAAAAAAGAAAACAAAAAGAAGCAAAAAGAAAAGGAATAAAAATAAAGATAAAAAGAAAAACGTGAGAATGAAAAGGAAGAAGAGAAAATGTGAAAGTAAAGATGGGAAAGAAAATCGAAGAAAAAGGCAAAAAAATAGACGATAGAAAAGATCGAGAAAAGAAGGAAAAGGAAGAAGCAAAAAAACTAGAAAAAGAAAATAACTAGCAATAGGTAAAGTAAAAGAAAGACGAAAAAAAACTGGTAAACGGAAAAGAAAAAATAGAAGGAGAAAGAAAGGAACAAAATGAACGTAAATGAAAAAGAAAGAAAAGAAAGTGAAAGGCAAAAGAAAAAAAAACTAGAAAAAGAAAAGAAAAAAGAAGAAACTAAAACGAAAAGCAAGTAGAAAAAGAGCTAGAAGAATTAAAAAAATAGAAGAATGAATTACGAATGAATTATAAAAAATATAATCAAAAATGTTTTAGAAATAAAGAAAAATTGAAGGAATGAAAATAAGTAAAAAGTAAAAAATTAATGAAGGAAGAACAGGAGCATAAAGTTAAACGAACATAAGACTAAAAATGGAAAAAAAAAACGTCACCCGAAAAAAATAAAACAGAGGAATGAAATAAGAAATTGGGATTATTTATGACTCAACGATTAAAAAAACCGGGAAAACGCAACGCAAAAAGGCGCTAAACCAAAAATAAAAGCTAAAAAAGCAAAAAGAAAATGTCATTAGAAAAAGAAGCAAGCACCAGGATAGGAAATAAAATGGCTGACAACGCTCCAAAATTTGAACAATTCAATATGGTGTCAATCTACGCTTTTCCGTGTCGAATAGTTAGAGATGTTTTACGAGTCATTGTGCAGAGTAAACAATTAAAAGGTGTACAAATTGTCTCTTAATGTGCTTCTATAAATTGTGCATCGTTTGTTGCGTCCGATTAAACCGGTCTAATACATTTTGCCAGAACTGAAATGTTAAATATAAAATCACAAAAAAAAAGAAAAGAATAAGACAAGGATGAATAACAACAATTTGTAATGATAAAAAATGGCAGTAGACACAGTAGGGCATCAACTGCAGAGCAATGGTTCTTTTTATATGGCATGTCTTCACATGGGCGATTATGGATTTCCAGAACTTTCTGCTTTATTGCTCGAAGTGATTTTTAAAATCTTTTTGTCCTTGTTCTGACATCAATTCCCACAAATTTTCGTTAACTTATCTCTATCCCTATCTGATTGTCTTTGCCTTCATTAAATCCTGACAGGGTTAGATTCTCCAAGCCCTCTTTCCTCATTATGTGTTCCAGAAATTTCAGCTGGCAGCATTTCATTTTAGTTCTTATTCTCCTTAAAACCTAATCATTGCTTATATGCTCAGTCAATGGTAGTCACCGTATTCGTTGACAGGAAGACATGTCTGCTGGTCCAAGAGTCTTTTTTATATGGTACGAAATTGTCCAGTATTCACTATCATATTGGAGATTAGATATTACCTAAGAGTTCATCATTTATTTAGCTGTTTTTTTTGTCGCTTAATAATTGCTTAGTTTCTATTCCTTCAAGCATCTAGTTTTCTGTATCACCACTCAGATGGTCGAATTTCTGCACCCACTAAATTTTGAACTTTTTTCTTACTATCGTTCACCTAATACAAGAGCCACTCAAGTTAGATGGTTACAGAATGAGATTTTGTAAGGGTGTAAATGGTGGGAAGAGGTCTGGTAAATTTAAGAGTACTGGACTGTTACGTAATATCCTCCTATATGGTAGTGAATGGTAGACTCCCCACAGGAGAAGATGAAACTTGAAGCAACAGAAACGTGGTTCTAGAGAAGGATACCGAGGATACTATGGATTGAACATTTGGGCAACGACGAAGTTTTAGAGAAAATGGAAACAATAAGGAACCTTATACTTAACATCAGAAAGAGATAGTTGGCGTTTCTAGGACGCAGGATGAGGAAATAGGGCTTTGAAAATTTTATATGAATAGGAGGGATTGAAAGCAAAACGGGTCGGAGGTAAAAAAAGAAAGAAGTGTAACCAACCTAGAAGATAATGAGGAAATGTAGGGTAGATAACGGGTGAGCCTAGACATGAGCGTAGTGATCAGAGGGAAACATGCACTCGGGAGTCTCTTCCCGACAACATTGCATTTTCTCTATTTATAGTTTTTTTTTGGTTAGTACTTTTATAGTGGGTCATCAGTTATAGTGAAGTGTATGAGTGTGGAAACAGGTTAGTTTGATTTGGCCTTGTTAGTTAGATAGCCCACCATAAGAGGGGTATAAAACAAGAAAATCAAATTGTAAAGCGAAACAACAAATTTATATACATATAAATCAATTGAATCGCCTTTTATAGAGTTTTGATTATCAAAATTGCCTAGCAGACAAATTTATTAGTTTAAACACTTTATACCTACAATGTCAAGTACAATTGCTCTTTGACTAACTTAGAGAAGTCTCTAAAATTTAAGAGTACTGAACTGTTATGTAACATCAATCCAGTTATATAGCAGTGAATGGTAAACAATCTCCACACAGGTGAAGAAGAGTCTTGAAGCAACAGAAATTAAATAAATATTTTGGTTGATACAAGGTCGTCAAAATATTCGTAGTAGTCCTTGCAAGAATGATTTTATGAGTACGTAGGCAGGAACGTATGTATGTATGTATATATGTATGTATGAGCGTTATCGAAGGGTAGGAATGTCTTTGAAGTAATCATTCAGTCTTAAAATGTTCCGTTCGTTTATCAAGTATAAAAGAGGTGAGGGAGAAAGGTAGAGATAATAATAACGATCGCTTGACGTTTGTCAAGGTACGTGTTAATGCGCTCGACTCCTTCTGTCTGGTGACAAGCGAATTTGCCTGTCTTTTAATTTGTTTGTGTGACTTGAAAAGGTCATTTGAGAATTCACTCCCGGATATGATTCGGGCCTTTTCATTGGACGACGAACAAACTTCGCGTAGGCTCTCGAAAAGGTCCGTAAAAGAATTTGTTTCTGAGAAATGAAGATTATTTGAATTTTGTTTTTAAATGTTTCCTAGTTTTCTATTGGTCGAAAAACATTTCGCATCAAGGTGTGAAATTTCACGAGTTTTGTTTTGGATTCGCTTTTAAGTGTGTTAAGCAAAGTTTGTAAATTCGAGTCTTTTTAATTTCTAACAAAATCAATGAGCCAGTGCTTAGCATTTGAATTTTAAATCTAGATCTTGTTTTATTCACTACACTTTCGTGTTGCTTTCCTTTACTACCTTATCTCACAGATGTTTCTGTTTGCTTTCTACGTGTACCATCAACCATACACAAAAGGATGAATCATCCTCATTTCCTTTGAATTTCATTAATAAGAAATAAGCCCCACTCGGAAAAATTCTTTCTAGAACGTCTGCTGGATGTCTCTCCGATCATTAAAATGCTGACCTATTCAAATCTAGGTCTAAACGCTATTTTTCCTGCATAACCAGATGAATTGCACTTCTTGCCTTTCCTTATGCTTATACAACATTACACATTAACACTCTACATTGAATGGCCCTTGGTGCATAGTCCTCGTTTGGTTTTTGAACAGGAGTAGATGTTTATTTCTTTTTCTTGTTTAGAATTGGGGTTCCAGTTACTTCTAAAATAAGATAAGTTTAAAATAAGACAGATTAAAGACTATCCTTAACTTATCCCCCACTTTTGGCCTTGTGCCACATTTTTGAATTTTCAAAATAAATATCACTTTCCTCTATGTTACCTAAGCTACGTAAGGTCAGATCATTTTACATTTGAGATGGCTAGATGTAACCGTCAGTTCTATACTAACAGTTTCTTATCTCGCACTTCTCCCTTGTGGAACTCTCTTCTGGCTTCTGGCTTCCCTGTCAACTTTAATATTCAAAAAATTAAATGCAATGTCAATTGTGATCTTTTGTCTCCTTGTTATTCTTTTATTGTCTTCTCTCTTAATAGGGTATTTTTCTCGTATTTTATAACATACAGTATCTCCTTGCGTCTTAGTGGTTTTATTGCCTTCCTCGGGGTGAAATGATAAAAATAGTGATTATCACTATTTTCATGGCAGATGTTTAAAAGAATCCCTTTGTTTAGTTCATACAATTACAGCTAGTGCTCGCCATGACCCCTTCACGGAATCCTGCTACCGTCATTTCCTCTGTATTCCAATTCTAAAGAGAATCTTTCACTGAGACAAATTTTTTCTCTTATTGTGGATCAGACTCCTGCGTGGATGCTTCCCTGAGCATCGAAATCTTTCAATCAAGAGTCAGTTGTTACCTATCCTTATCGCCATAAGCTTCACTTCTTATCCCAGACTCTTGTATTATTTTCACACACGTCATACAGTAACCCTCTAGCTTGAGTGTCTGCCAAGCCTTGTATAGCGTGAACTTTAGTATACACAAAGACTGTATGCGCATAAAATGCATGGTAACTTAGAAATACGCTGGGTATTATTTTAAAAGAAAATCTGCTACACCTTTAAATTAGGTACCTTCACTGAATTTTCGATACCTAAATTTTAAAATTAAATTTTAAAAATGAAAAAAGCTTTTTGATGATTTTATTCTAGTTTTAATTGAAAGCTAAATGATTAAATTTATTATTTCAAGTAAGTAAAATATTTCGATGTATTTCAAATATAAATTATATAGATTGGAATGTCAAATAATTGCTCGATTTTTTAAAATTTTTCTTAAAAGCGGCCATTTTCTTAATTTTTAAGAAATTTGTAAACAAACAGATTTATCGCATTTTAAATTGTTTGAAAATGAAATTATAGATTCGTAACGCGTTATTTGATTAAAATTAGAAAATTTAAAATTAAATTAATCTAATTTGAAATAAATATTACTTATAGCATAAAAACCAAGCATTTCTTAACGATGGGTTCCTCTTTCTTTGGTCTTTATTGATTTAAGGTGATGACAGATCTTATGGATGACCAGAAATGATATATTTATGAAAACTAAGTGAACGCATTTTTTTTTTTAGTTTTTAACTACCTAGTAAGTTTTACAAATTAACATATTTTCAGCAATTATTTAATATTTTTTTGACTTTTAGTTAAGTTTTAAGAAGCTTGATGAAATTTGCATTTCGTTTCTAGGTTCTTAAGTTTACTACTTTCAACGAAAAAATTAATTAATTAATTGAAGTCTGAGACAAACGAAAATAAATACATAAAATAAAAATATTTAGTGAAATAGCAATTAAAAAAAGTAAAACTTTGATATTTTGAAGAGTTTATTTGCAAAGAATTTAATGATGAAACAGAACTGAATTAAAAGTGAAATAATTGCAGTGCGTCAGACGACACTTAAATCACGCGACCTT